GAGAAAGAGGAACCCTCCCTACACTGCTGGTGGGAATGTCAGCTAGTTCAACCATTGTGGAAAGCAATATGGAGTTTCCTCAAAAAACTAAAAATAGAAATACCATTTGACCTGGGAATCCCACTCCTTGGAATTTACTCAAAGAATACAACTTCTCAGACTCAAAAAGACATATGCACCCCTATGTTTATTGCAGCACTATTTACAATAGGCAAGATATGGAAGCAACCTAAGTGGTAAAGAAGATGTGGTACATATACACAATGGAATACTGTTCAGCCACAAGAAAGAAACAAATCCTACCATTTGCAACACCATGGATGGAGCTGGAGGATATTCTGCTCAGTGAAATAAGCCAGGCAGAGATAGACAAGTGCCAAATGATTTCCCTCATTTGTGGAGTATAACAAAGAAGCAAAACTGAAGGAACAAAATAGCAGCATACTTACAGCATCCAAGAAAGACTAGCGATTATCAAAGGGGAGGGGTGTGGCAGGGTGGGTCGGGAGGGAGGGAGATGGGGATTGAGGGGTATTATGTTTAGTACACATGGTGTGGGGAGTCACAAGGCAAACAGTGTAGCACAGAGAAGGCAGTGAATCTGTAGCAACTTAGTACACTGATGGACAGTGACTGCATTGTATGGGTGGGGACTTGATAATATGGGTAAATGTAGTAACCACATTGTTTTTTTCATGTGAAACCTTCATTAGAGTGTATATCAATAATACCTTAATAAAAAATTTTTTAAAAAAAGAAATACCATTTGACCCAGGAATTCCACTCCTAGGAATTTACCTGAAGAAAACAAGATCCCAGATTCAAAAAGATACATATACCCCTATGTTTATCACAGCACTATTTCCAATAGCCAAGATTCAGATGCAACCTAAGTGTACATCAGTAGATGAAAGGATAAAGAAGATGTGGTACATGTACACAATGGAATATTAATCAGCCTTAAGGGTAAAACAGATCCCACCATTTGCAGCAACATGGATGTAGCTAGAGGGTATTTTGCTCAGTGAAATAAGCCAGGCAGAGAAAGACAAGTACCAAATGATTTCACTCATTTTTGGAGTGAAATAACAATGAAGCAAAACTGAAGAAATAGAGCAACAGCAGACTCACAGACTCCAAGAAGGGACTAGCGGTTACCAAAGAGAAGGGGTTGGGGAGAATGGGGAGGGAGGGAAGGAGAAGGGGATTAAGGGGCATTATGATTAGCACACCTAATGTAGGGGGGCATGGAAAAGGCAGTATAGCACGAAGAAGACAAGTAGTGACAATAGATAGCATCTTGCTATGCTGATGGATGGTGATTGCAATTGGGTGTGTATGGCGACTTGATAATATGGGTGAATGTAATAACTACACTGTTGCTCATGTGAAAACTTTATAAAATTGTATATCAATGATACCTTAATAAAAATAATACCCCATGAAAACTCTTTTAACATGACCCCTATTATGTAATTCATTTGAATAAATAACTGAAGGTCCAGATACAGTCCAGAAATAGCCAAATCAAAAAGTTTATGAAATGATATCTTTTTCAAGCTTCTTAGAAACTGCTAGTCTCTTTCGTATTTATCCAAGTCTGTTCTATTCTGGTCTATACTCTTTTGTGTTGTAAAATGAAAAGCTTCATTAACCTGCAAATATGCATCATTGGATGATAGGAGTATCCAAGGTCCGTCCTCCACTGGCTCAGCCAATGAAGGACCTCCAGACCCTGAGCCACAGCCATTTGCTCAAAATGAGAGCAGGTGATTTTGGGTGAAGTAATAAGTGCCTTCCTGGGTGTTCATCCTTGAAGACTGAGGAGGAAATTGATGTGGCATCTTTTTTTTTTTTTGTCCATTGGTCAGAGCTCTAAATCTCAATCCCTACCCTTAGTACCTTTATTGCTGGGGGGTGGAGGAATTGCTCCCTGGTTAGACAGGATAGATACAATTACCTTGTTGGACTTGTGAATCTAGTAGTGAGAAGCATAGCCTCACATTATGTACTTAAGAAATGCTGAGCAAAACTACTTTAGGTGAGTAATTGTTTTCCCCATCTCATATCTGTATGAGCATTCACTTCGCAGCTATATATCTTTCACCTGCCACCATGTACCTCTCATCTGCTCCCACCCAGTTTAACACTTACATTGCTCAGGATGGAATCAAAACGTTAATGAAAAGGGTGATTACCAGATGCAATTGAACAATGGGAGTTATCCAACCCCAGCTTACCTAACAACATTCATTCTTTTCTCTAGGCCCTTTGAATGAGCCTAATCTTGTGCAAATACAGCCTAAATAGTGTGCAAATGCAGAAGTTGCTGAACCTGTCATGGATGTACAATATCTATCTCAAATTTGCAAACAGTAATGTTGAAAATAGAGCAAAATTCTTGGGCAGAATCAGGATGCAAAGAGATCTCATCATGAGCAAACTTAAGCACATAAGCAGCCACGATGGCTCCCCATTCATGTAACTTGGATCCAAAGGGTCATCAGGAGAAAAGTTGGTATAGAAACAGGCACACAACAGCCGATTTCAAATAGTGGAAAGGGGATTAACTACACTATGTAGGTATCTTGCTTGAGTGTTTCAGTTCCAGGCAAGTTCACTATGGATTCAGTGAGACCAAAAATAACAATAGAACATTCTGGGATAAAAGGGCTTGTTACCTGGCTTTATTCTTCCAGAGATAGGTCAAGCAATAGAATCACGTCTGCATCCAATAGTCTGCAGGTCCATAATCCTCCTGCATCTCTGCCTCCACCCAGAGCACTGGGCAGAGCTCTTTATATAGTGACTCAGTCAATAATAGCTCATTGCCAACCAGTGTGGAAGCAGTAGCCTGGCAGTAGGAGCAGTAGGTCAATTACATCACCAAGTAATTTAGGGTCAGGTGAGGATCCTGGCCATAGGAACTTCCATTTTCACCACAGTAGTTCTCCAGCATGCAGTCCAAGGACTATTGGATAGAAGCTACAGGAAGGCAGGTTTGGGCACAGTGTAAGCAACTTGTCATGTCAAGGGACTGAGTGACTCTACTGGATAATTGTTAGGCAAGAGGTTGCATACTGGTGACCAACATGGTTACTTCCAACTCTCAAATTCTCTGGTTACACTAACCCACCACTTGTGTCACCTCATTGACATTTGATGAGTTGACCCATCTACTGTTTTGTTTATATAAGTTTATGTTATTACATAAGAAAACAGCTTCCACTTCCTGTAAACCCATCATTTATTTAAGGATGTTAGCTCTTACAAAGGCTACCCTTATTGTGTAGTTCATTTGAATAAATAACTGAAGGTCCAGATACAGTCCAGAAATAGCCAAATCAAAAAGTTTATGAAATGATACCTTTTTCAAGCTTCTTGAAACATAATAAAGGTAAGATAGGCTACTTAATAAAGGTAATACTTGAGGTTGAAAATAGGTACAGACAGCAAAATCCCTTTTTGTAGGAAAAGGTATGAATATTAATAGACTACAGTCTGAATGGTTATACACTCAAATGCTAATACTTCTAATTGGTGGGATTATAGGTTTTTGGTTCTTATATATTTCAAGTGATGAAAGTATGGTTTAAGGGAAGGGACCAGAACTCACCTACTTATACATATTTCTAATTATATTAGTCAGCTTGGGTTGTCATAACAAAGTTCCATGGACTGGATGGCTTAAACAACAGAAATTAATTTTCTCATGGTTCTGGAAGATAGACCTCCCAGATCAAGGTCCAGCAGGGTGAGTTTCTGGTGGGAACTCTTTTACTGGCTTGTAGATGGCCACCCTCTTGTTGTATCCTCACATGTTGGGGAGAAAGAGAGATGTCTGGAGTGTTTTCCCCTTCTTTTAAGGCCATAGTCCCTATCATTAGGGACCCCACCCTTATGACCTCAATTAACCTTAATTACCCCCTAAATACACTGTATCCAGAATTCATCATATAGGAGGTTAGGGCTTCAACATTTTTGGAGGGGTGGAGAACAATTCATTCCATAGCACTTATGCTCACCACAAACACCAAAAATAGTTGGTTCATTGGACAGTGAATTTTGTTAGGACAGTGTGGATAAAGTGAAGGTTCCTGTGGCCAGGATTCTCACCTGGCCCTCCCAGGTCGGCTAGCTCACTACACACATGTGGGCAATACATTGCCATTGACTCCAGAGCTCCACCCAGTGTTCTGGGTGACACGGTGGCAACTGTAGGGCTGCAAGGCTGCAGGAGAGCAGAGACTGGAGTGGTGGCAGCACCAAGGACAGAGACTGAGATGGCTGCGGGGGGCAGAGAGGCCCAGAGGCAGAGACCAGCTTGCTGCATGCAGGCTCACTCTGAGTGGATGGGATTCTATTGATTGACCTGCCACTGTGGGAATAAAGTTAGGTATAAACCCTTTCTCCCCAAGAACATCTCACTGTCATTTTTCGGTCTCACTGAATCCACAGTGAACTTGCCTGGGGCTGAAACTCATTAGCAAGACAGGAACAAAACGAGAGGTTCAGTATTGTGGGTCATTAGCAGGTATTAATCTGAGTTTACACTCAATAGATGTGAAGTGCTTAGCACAGTGCATGTTACCAAGTGCCTCCTGCCCCTTCTCTATCCAACCCCAGCCTTAGGTGTCCCCTCCTATTAGGTTGAAAAGCACTTTCCAGAAAGAGCCCAACTAAAATCCCAGCCGTTATTCACTTTAAAAGATTGCTTCACACCCTGTGTTTTCATTTCTTCATTTCTGAGATAAGGGGGTCAGTCCACATGACCTCTTCTTCCAGGGTTCCCTAATTCTAACTCCAGCTCTAAGGAAAAAGCACCTAATATCTCCAAGTCAGAACCCACTTGATCTGGACAAGAGGAGAGCCTTTCCCATGTAACTGATCTACTAAAGAGGCTTTCCTCCAACCATTTTGTTTGGCTGAAAAGAGTATCCTTGTGTACTTCCATTCCTTAGAAGACCACTAAGAATGAACCACAGGAGCCTTAACACGATTATATTTATTTTATTGCTGCATAAGAAAATGAAAGTAAACTGTGAAAAGCTGCAAAAATGTGTCACTTCATGAAGATTATAGAGCAATGGAGGCACCCATTGTAGAAGGTTTAAAGTGGATTACCCTGTAGTGTGTGCAAGGACTTCACACACAAAAGTCATTAATGGTGAGATTACTGAAAGCATCTGCCAGCTGGAATTTACACACCAACAGAAAATTTAAAAATGAATGTAAAGGAACACTGGCTACCCCTGATCTCGTAGCCAGGGAGTGCGGGTGAAAAGACAGAAGATGCCAAAAATCTCTACAACACAAAGGTCTACAAAAAAACAAGCCCCAAATCAAGACACACAATGTTGAAATTTGCTCTTGGAAGAAGATCCCCATTTTATGATGTTTGAACACACTCCTTCTCCTGCTGGATAGCTGGGGGGAAATAAACACACAAAAATATTAAGAATGTATTTTCCTAACGTTAAGTTCAGTTTCTTCCAAAAGAGCTCTTTGCTGCCAATCAAGTCATTGGATGCTGTCAATCATGCTTTAAATTCAGATTGTCAAAGCACTAATCATATATCCTTACAGTAGGGTAGGTGTGTGTGCGTGTGTGTGTGTGTGTGCAAGTTAACCAACTGAACATTCATTAGACTGTATATTAACTATGTGGTTTTCTTCTCATTTGAGAGGTAAATCTGTGGTGTTGCCACTTTTCCATAGGTTATTCTGAGACTGAAGAGCAAGTAAAACATTTCTTCATATTTTCAATATACAATTAGGAAGTTATACTCTTTCAGACAATTTTGACTAACTTTGGAAGTTTCAAATAATGCTGACATCAAAAACATGCACCTTAGCTTGAAGTTTCTCCAGCAGGCTGTAAGTTGAGAGGGCAAAATGATCCCTCGATCCCTGGGAGACTTGAGTATACCCAAGATCTAAGCTGATTCTCCCACCTCATCTTGTTGTCAGGTGGGGAGACGGCCACAACTGCAGAGTTGTACAGCTCTTTAGGGATGAGATCACAGAGCCAAAGTGCTAGATGCAGAAAAATGGCAAAAAAAAAAAACAACCAAAAACTGGACAAAGCTAAGATAGTTCTAATACTAAGTTCAGTATTCCAAGATTGACTTTAATGTGGCTTTTAGTAATTTTCCAACAAAAAGCTGTTTTTTTTTTATTCCCCCATTACTACTAGGGCCTATGTTGTGAGAACCACTTATACAAAACCAGGTAAGAAAGCAATTATTTGGTATTTTTATATGTTACATTAAATATATTGGTGCTCTAATTATTGCTTACTGTGTGGCAAAATTTACTAGAAGAGTTTATTTACTGAACATACCAATTTTCACCATTGTTTGTCTCAACTAGAGAGCCTCCCATGACTTACTTTCCTTTGAGGGAAGAGTATTTTTTTCTTTAGTATTAGTTTTCTTCAGTTTCGACCTGTCAAACTTTTGCACTTTGAACAGGTCTGGCTTATCACTCATCTTGACTAAAAGAAAGGCTGAAAAATAAAAAAACATTTAAAAGAGACTTACCTGATAGAACCATTATCAGACTAAGGAGAAACAGCCAAAAATGTGACATTTACTATCAATGTGTATTTTACATGCTGATTTTCAACAAAAGAGCAACAAATCTTAGAAGAGTTGTGTTTTTATTAGAATACTTTTTAGTCCATATCATTACCCCATTTCTGATAGACAATAAATGCCACTGAATTAGGATGCACTAGAAACCAAGATGCTCTAGAAGCCTGGAGCCAACGTGTCTGACTCTTAAAATTAGCAAAAGTAAAATGAAGGTGATAGAGACACATGAGCAAATAAGGGTAAGAAGAAAAAGTAAGGACTGGGTTTAGCCAGCTAATGAATTTGTAACAGGAATAGCATTATTTGAGCATGTTCACTTTTTATTCAACTACTTTTGTGGAGAATTTTTCTGGGGGCAGGAGATAGGTAGTAGAACACATGAAAAAGGGTAGCATAAATTGGGCTAGTTTCTTTCCATTTTTTTCTGCTCCAAAATGGTAAATTAAGGAGCTACAAAGAGAGGGAAGGGATTTAATCAGTCATAACTAATTACACATCTCATAAAGTTCCTTATAGCATTGGTTTGTAAATGCTATGAGAAGGCACAACAAATAGAATCAGACCAAGGACTTCAGCAGAACGGGATAAACCGAATAGAGCTGATTTTTTATTTCGCCATATTTTCTCTGCAAAGGGAGAGGCGAGGAGATGAGGCACCCTGTGACCATTCCGGGTTTGTCCAGCGGAGACATTAGGAGACCCCAGAGCCAGGAGGCAGAGCTCTCCCGCGCGTGCCTGGCCCCATCCTGGCCGGGGAAGCCGCGTTAAGTGCCCAGAGTAGAATGGAGACGGCCCCAAGCAGCCAGAGGTCCCCCAGTGTGCCCCCCGCCCGTCGAGGTCAACCTGGGAAACTGAGGAGTAATCAGATGCCAGTCTCCAGAGGTGGGGAAACAGGGGCTTCAAATAAATAACGACAGAGCTGGGCGCACGGGCCAGTTTGTCAAGAGCATCGTCAAAGAAGGATCATCGCTGCCGGGCGCCCAGCGTTAACTTATGGGCCACGGGAGGGGAGATGGCGAGGGGCCAGCCCCAGAGGGCTCCTTCCGGTTGGCCTCAACCTGCTCGAACTCGCTGCCTCGGACCCGCAGCCACAGCGGACGGGCCGCTCTTGGGGCCGCCCCCTCGGGCCTTCCAGGCACTCACCCTGCTAGGACTCGGCCGCCTGTTGGAAGACGGCGGCCACGGCCGGCCGACAAAGGCGCGGACTCGCCAGGTGAGGGTGGGGGGGCGCAGACACCCAACGCCGGTCGGTCCCCAGGGCCCGACACTCCCCGCCCCACGGCCGCCGCGCCCTCCTGTCTCCGCAGTCCTCTGGCTCCGGCGGGGCCGCACGTCCTCACTCGAAGGCGTGAAGACCCGAGAGAGGCAGACTGCGAGGACGAAACGCTCCGCACGCTGCGCACGCTGTGCGAGGGCCAGCCTTCCCGCGGGGAGCCCTGGGGCAAACAGCCCAGGAATAGGCCGCGCCCCAGAGCCCGCCCCCACCCTCTCCGATTGGCCGCGGGGTCCAAGGCCCGCCTCCTCCTCCCTCCCTGCACCTCAGCATCGCCCGCCTGGCCCAAGTTGCCTACGTGCCCTCCGCTCCGGACCTCGCTGCACCCGGAGCGTCTCGGTGAGGTCACGCCAGATTCCCCAAACCCCCGGCCCCGGATCCCGTCCGAGCCCTCTCTGCTTCGCGGGGGGATCCCCGGCTTGACTCGCCTCGCCTGCCTTTCCCACTGCTCTCCTCCTGAGGGTGAACGTCCCTGCTTCCCAGGTATGCTCACTGCCCCACGATAATAGGGGCCTCTACAAGAAGCAGTCACTTGTTGCCCACGTAGCTTTGAGCGTCTGCAGCTCCAGATCCCAACCCAAGGAGCCGCGACCAGTTCTATCAGCTCTCTATAGCCATAGGAGCCTAAATCCTCTGTGGCAACCAAGCAGTGGTTTGGAAGCCATACTCACTGTTGTCTGTTCCAATCCTTGGCCAGGTCACGGAGGAGGGGTGCTCATGGAGAAGGTGGGCGCATCAGGGCCCTGCACCCCCACAGCTGGGCATTTCTGTGACAGTGGTGCTCTCTTACGTAAAAGTCACGTTTCCGATGTTCTCAGCCAGAGAGCGTGACTAAGTCAGTCAGGGAATTGTGATCAGAGGAGAATCTGCTGAGGCTTTTCATCTTTCTCGCTCCGGCCCCTCACACTTTGCTTGGCCCTCAGGAGACGCTGGGCAGCTATCTGTCTACAGACTGAAGTAATAAATCCGAGCTAGGGCAGAAATTTTGCACAGCAGCGCCACCCAGTGTCTCCTTTGGGGGAGGTAAGTGAAGATCTGGTGGTTACTAGAAAGGATCAAATGTTCAAGATGGTTTTCTGGATACTCATCCAGAACCTTAGAGCATGAAGGTTAATAGGCAGACAGGACTTTGGCTTTTGCCTGTGTCCCGTATTCTCCACATGGCTTGTGTGTGCTGGTGGAGATCTACATAAATCAGCAGTCACTCTCTGCACAAGGATTTCTCAAGCTATCCTCACCTCTCTGTTCCCTTTTCCGGGCTCTGGTAGCATGCTGAGGTAATTTGTATGAGCTTTGTATGTTTGTTGGAGAAACTTTTGAGATGGAAAGGCATGGTCACTCAACAAATAATACTCACTGAGTACCTACAATGTCCCAGGCATTAAATACAATAAACATCAGTGTTTGCACCGCTCGGATTTGAATGCTGTCAACATCTGGGTGTACTTACCTTGCCTTTTCTCTTTAGGGAATAAAAGCATTACAGAAGAATTGACGTTTCCCTGACCTGCACCCACTGCCGTTCAGCCTCGCACCTTGCGCACATCCTATCCTGACTGCGAGGAGTAGTTTCTAGCTCTTTTTCCTATCATGACAGATCTATGGGACCTCCGTTTCCAGGAGCAATATGGGCCATTGTGTGGACCAGTGCTCCAGGTGTAAGCCTGAGCTTGCACATCACTTGGGGTCCACAGGAAGGCCCAGGCACCCACCAAACCCTCCCTAGCCCAAGCTTCAAGCTCTAGCTTGAACCTATCTACCTAGAATCCATCAGCACTCATCAAGTGATGATGTGCCAGTCACCGTGAGAACCCCAAGGTCCCCACGGTAACCCTCAACTCCCACATTCTAACCTCCACAGGGTCCAGGCCCTGGGCAGTAGCTGTCATGACACCATTCCTCTGGCCCAGGGCCAGCCACTAGGCCAACATTCCTTGAGTCAAGGAGGCAGAAGTGGGCTATCTCCAGTGAGCAGAGGGCTTTCCGAGGCAGGAGTGCAAGGCGGAGGCAAGGGGGTGGAGGAGACAGAAGGGCAGGGCTGTCAGGGGCACGGCCCCTCCCTCCACAGGTCACATCATTCCGCCTGGTCCTCCAGCGGGTCCGCGCATTGCCCAACACGTGTAAGATTCCTCAGGCAAGGAACTAACTAAGACAGGCACAGGTTCACAGGGACCATTGGGAGAGAAGATGGCGATCCTGAAAGGGGGCCACAGGAACTCCACCCCACGCGGTGCTGGGGACTGACACTTTACTCCATCTGGGAAATGTCTCCTGACCCATGGCTGTCTCTGGGGCCATCCATGGAGGTCCAGGCACAGACTGGACTGTCCTTTTTGCCCTGGTCCTGCCACAATGCTGAACCCCCAGTGAGGTGGCTCAGCCCTGGGCTCCTGCCCCATTCCCTCTTCTCTCCAGAGCATTTGGGGGGAGACCTGGAGGAAGGAAGGGAGGCAGGGATGGGGAGGCAGGCTGGACCCTACCTACAGATGCGGCTTCTTGTGGCACTAGAGGTGGGACCCAGGGCCATCTAGGTGGGAGCTTCCCAGGAGGACGGAGAGGGAGAAGGGAGAAGATGAGGGTGGAGGGAGGCAGGGAGGAAGGGAGGCAGCACTCGCCCTCTGCATCAGTGCACAAGGTTAGTTCCCAGGGCCCTGGAAGACTGGGGCGCTGGCATGTAGGTTGGGAGGCACAAGGCTGTGCACCTGGGCTAAGGGTGCTTGCTCCCATGTGCACAACTGCTCTGCAGTTTCACTCACTCTTCGGTTTTGTCTTGATTTTGGCAGCTCCATCCTGAAGTTGTTCCCCAGGTTACTCCTCCTGGTAAGTGTACTCCATGATCACTCTGCCCTCTAAGGGACACTGACACCGCCCACAGCCTCCTCTGAACCCTTTTGGTCTCGCCCAAGTTGAGTGTTTGAACCTGACCCTTAAACCTCCTGGGAGAGAGGAGGATGGTAACCGACCCATGTGGGAACCTGACAAAGGCTCTGTATCCTTCCCAACCATGTTCTCCAAAGCCTTTAGGGGCTCCATGAGGATGACCCCAAATGTAGTCTTGCCCACAGAATTTCCAGGAACCTTTCTCACCCGACCTGACCCTCACCCTCTCCTGGGCCCATCCTTTTCCTGATCATCCAGCACTGCCCCCTGGTCTGCAAAGCTGACTGCCTCTTCCTTTCCCCAGGATGGCCAGGACTCACGGCCACCAACCATCCCTGGTATTGAAGCCCGCAAGATGTTACCGAGGTGCATGGTGAGGAGGGGGGATCATGGAGGTTTTAGGCAGTGCCTGAGGAGGGGATCCAGCTGTAGTTCTGGGGACCATTTTGATTCCAGGGAAGTGTCTTTGGATCCGATGTGCTGGAGAGTCTAGTCCTGCCATTCCTGCAGCAGTAACTACCCCTGGGACCAGGAGGCTGGGTTGGGCAGGGACGGGAGGGATTTCCTAAGCTCAGGATTGCTCACTTCACCCTTGAAATCCCATGTGGGGTCCAGGCACAGACTGGACTGTCCTTTTTGCTCCTGCAAAGGTATTACATAATCTATGACTGCGGAGACTGACAAGGTCTCCTGGGCGCTTACCACATCGAGGCCTGCTTCTCCCTGACCGTTCCCTTCAGCTCCGAGGCGCCAGCCCTGTGAGTACTGCAGCTCAGAGTCTGTTCCTGGGCTGCAAGGCTCCCCAGAACAGGAGGCCAGCTCCTGGGAACACCCACCTGGCCAGAGCGTCACCCTCATTCCTATTTTTTCTCCTAGAAGCAGCTTGTGCGAGTATGCCAAGGACAGCAGGAATATAAAGGAGCTCAAGGACCCCTGTGCGTGTGTGGTGGGCAAGACTGCCCAGGCCAGAGGGTGGGACAGGCTGATCATGGGCCCAGGGTGTGGCCGCCCCAGGCCTTGGCTTGCTTCCCCTCCCCCACAGGTCTGAGGGTTCAGCTCCTGAAGCACACACAGCATGAGGTCCTGCGCTCCCTGTGCATGTTGCCGAAAACTCAGCATGACCTCAGCTCCTTCGTGGTGGACACGTGGCTTGATACGGTGAGTGCCTGCCCCCTCCCTGGGGCCAGTCCAGGGAGCCTCATGTGGGTGGGAGGTTTGGGTGGTGCTGAGCGCACGGGCACTTCCCTTTCAGGAGACCATGCTCTGCTTCTCTGTCAGTGGGGTCTTCAAGGAAGGTGAGCCTGTGCAGGGGCTCCTCTGCAGATGCCTCATGCTCCCTCCCGTTGACCGGGCTCTCTCTCAGAGCTCTCCCAGCCTCCCTGTACCCTTCCCTGCCCTTCCTATTCCCGCTGTTGTTCTCTGCCTCCACTCTGCCCCCAACCGTCCAGGTCTGACCCACATCCATGGCTGTCGGGCCCCCACAGCTTGGGCACCAGCGACACAGGCCATGCAAATTTGCTGGCTCTCATCCTAGGTCTTCACCCTGTGACTTCAGGCCCAGTACCTAACCTCCCAGTTTCCTCGTTTGCACACTGGTAATTGTACCCACCTCTTGGGCAGCTGTGAAAAATGAATTAAATGGGCTTGTGAAATGGTTGTCACAGGGCCTGACATACTGTAGGGGTCCTAGTTGCCCCCCCTTTCATGATGTCCTGACTCTCAGACAACGTTTATCCCCTTCAGCGGGAATACCAAGTCCAACCCTGACTGGGGGGAACTCTGTGAGAGCATGGGGAGCGTGCGGGCCTCTATGGGGTTCTGTTTATTGCCTTTGAAGTGGAAGGAGCATCTCAGGATTCAAATCTGGGACAGTCTGAGTCGAAAGCCCAGGGACTGCCTTTTGCCATATTCTCTCTTCTCATCACTCGGGTGATGGCATGGGCCCCTGAAACGTGGATACCCACACAGTCTGATGTGAGCCTCCCTTTTTAATAAGCCCTTCAATAGCTTGATCTTTCTTGAAAGGCTTTATAATCAGCTCAAAGGGTAAAAGCAAAAACCTCAAGTGGGCCTTCCTGCAAAGGCATACAATGAACCTGATTTTCTTGGGCAACTACCGGAAAAGTGTTCTCAAGCAGCAGTTAGCAAGTTCACCACTTCCTGTGCTCAATTCTATACTGCAATAGCTGTCTCAAGCATGTGCAAAACCGTTCCACGTTCCATGATTGTGTCCAGTTTGCCATGCTGTGAATTGGTGGGGGAAAGGGTAAGAAGCAGAGAGGGGGAGAAGACTCCATGCTGGGATAAAACAGCCATTACTTGGTGACCCGCATTCAGCTCTCTACACCATATACATTGCTGCATAAAACTGAATGCTGTCCTCACATGTAGAATATGCAGTTATGGATCCGAGGAATTGGTGATCCCGTCAATCAGTGTCCTTGCCGCTATTTAGTTTCCACACAGTTATGTCAGTATCTTTTCCTTGCTCTTTATAGTTGTATCCTCACCATTTGGTATTACTGGAGAGAACAAAATATTCAGGGCCACAGCAAAGCTGGGGGCTTTGTTGTAGTTATAATTCCTGAAAGTAACAAACAGGTCCTTGAACACTGGCAGTCTATGGGTACCTCTAACCAGAAGATCGAATGAACCAGAACTGACTCTACCTCTAACCTTGCCAGCTGATTGCACGTCCTTTCTTCACCACCCTTATAATGGACACCGCTTTGTCAGTCAGTGTTACTTAAACCAGGCATCACTAAAGTACTAAGAGTCCCCACTGACTGAACAGCAACTGTGCCAGGCACTGTGCCAAGCACTTCATGGGAGGAACTCAATTACCCTTCATGCTATGCCTGGGAAGTAAACAGTGTCATTTCCCTTTTTATGTGTAAAGAAACAGCCACAAAAGAGCGTCATGTGCCCAAGTTCGTGCAGATAGGAAGCTTGGGAGCCAACAATTAAATATGTCTTGACTAATTTGCGAGACTATGGCAAGATACTCCTACCTCTTGCGACTCAGTTTCCAGGCGTTCATTAAAAAGCAGCATAATTGGAGACCTTCAACCACTCTCACTCACTACTTTGAATGAGGACATTCAGTACAAGATCTCAGGGAGCCTCCCCATATCCTCCAGACCAGGACGAAGGCCCCTGGCATTTCCTCTTCAGGAAAGCCATGTCTTTGTCAACATCCCGTCTTTGTCATCCAAACTCTCAAGAACCGTGGAAGGTGTGTTATTTTCCTCTCCTTGTGAGTTAAATTGGCCTGCCACAGTTTCATAGATTCTGGAGAACACAAGAGACTTCTGGGTCAGAGAGGAAGGAATGTGCTACCCACAGAGCAGCTTGATGTTTGTGCGGTTGCCCTTGCTTTCTTCTCCCCCATTTCCCACACAGGTGCCATGCTGTCAAAAAGAAATGCAGTATAAGCCACACCAAAATAAAAGTGAAAACCTCCTAAAGTTAAAAGAAACAGGTGAGTTTAATTTTAGTGACTTTTATTTAACACAAAAGTGAACAAAAATGACAATTTCAACATGGAAACCAAGACATTGTTAGTTTTTACATTTCTTAGTAAGCCTTTGAAGTGCAGTGTGGACTTTCAACACGTAAGCAATATGGACAAATTACTGATTGTCCATTCTTTTTCTGACAAAGTCTTTGAAATGCCATCTGTTACCATTTCAACAAACAGTACACGCAATTCATTTACTAGCTCTTTTAACAGGTTCATCTAAGTCCAATGCTGTGTATTGTTGCCAAACATAGATGATGAAAAATGTTAACTATTTTTCTTCATTATCAATTTTTACATTCTTTTCTCTCAGTCTTTTAAATACGATTTGTTATTGCCTGTGTAAGCAACACGAACGAATAACTCTAAATTCCTTTTTACTGAGCCTTTGAAATTCATATGTGTTGTCATTTCAACGTGGAAACAATGTAAGTATTCCATCAATTACCTTTCCATTCTTCTCTGTTACCAAGTGTGTTCTCATTTCAACAAGAGAACAGTATGCACCAATAATCATTTTTCATTCTGTTTTTCTTATGAAGTCATTAAAGTTCAGTGTGTTATTTCAACATGTAAGCAAGAAGAACAAGAAATTTTATAATCTTTTTCCTCAATGTCTTTGAAATACAGCATTTTATCATTCTGACATGTAAGCATGAACAGATCATTCATTAGTCATTTTCACTCTTTTCATACTAAATCTTTGAAATACAATGCTACAGTCTCAACAGGTAAATATAAACAATTTACATTCCTTTTTCCCTGTCTCTGACAGGCAGTGTGTTATCCTTTCAACATGTAAGCAATATAAATCAACTATCAATTAGTTATTCTACATCCTGTTTCTTACTAACTGTTGGATATGTGGTGTGCATTTAGCACCTGGAGTACATCACATTTCGGAGTAGCCAGATTTCTAGTGTTCACTGGCCACGTGTGGTTAGTGTGTACATTGAGAGCAGTGCAAACCTAATGGAAGATCACAGGAAGAAAACACGTATGAAATAGCATATACCATGAAGGAATATTCATGCACATGGCACATTGAGACCAATAGCAAATAAAAGCCTACTTAAATGGGGAAGAGAAAACCTAGCTGAGGAGGTAACATGTAAGCCATGACCTAAGGGTTGAGCAGCTGTATGTAAGGGAAGAAATGAACAAAAATCTGGGCCATGGAGGAATTATTTTCCCAAATGCCCTAAGAAAGAGTAGAGAAACAGACAAAACATAGGAGCAGCTGTTACTCTGAGCGGTTTGAGATCAGGGACTTGATCTTTCTTATCATATGGAACAGTACCTAAAGCACAATGGACACGGTGGGAGTGCATGTGAAGTAAAAATAATTGAGCCAGGGGTCTGAGACCTGCAGATGCAGCTAGCAACATGATGAAGACACCAGTAGGTAGTGGGGGTAGTTTTTTGGTTCCTTTCCCTTGCATAGGTTTTCTCATAAGCAACTGAAGGCAATCATACATACAAGTATTCAGGGCCCTCAAGGGTGAAATTATTGGCCTCTACAACTACCACAGCCAGAGAGAGTTTCAGTTCATGGGACTCGTGCCAAGGGCCTGTAAGATGATAAATGGAACCACCCCTGTGCACTGGGAAGTGATGGGACATGATTGGGAGAGCTTCCATCATGTAACCAACACTGTACTTATTAAGCAGAAGAGGATGTAGAGGGCAATGGACAACAGATTCACAGGAGCTTCCAAATTCCTCTCCTTCCTTCTTAGAGTTCCTTTTTCAGAGGTGAAGGACACAGCCAATCACCCTGAGCCCCATTTCCCTGAACAGTACAATTTTACATGTGTCTCTACAAATTAGGCCTTCAAGCAAAACACTGAGCGCTTTTGTGGCCACACATCAGTGCTGACACGACTCCTTGTACTATGGGAATCACGCAGAATGGGTAGTCCAAAGCATGTCATCCCGCTCTACCGCCTGCAGCATTGCCTTCAATTGGGTCTGAACTTCAGCCAACTGCCGTTGGTCCAAACTTTCACGAACATCCCACTGTCTATAGCAATGGACAGGGATGGGATAAATCACATGCTTCAGCTCCATCAAGGATGTTAGGTGATGCAGAAGGCTTGTGAGCACAGGCATTGTAATGGGGTTGAAGGCAAAGCTAAGGACACGGAGGCACGAACAGTGGCTCAGAGCTGGCAGGAGAGCAGAGAGAGTGGAATCACTTAACATACAATTATTTATTTCCAGATGCTGCAGGGTACCCGAGGCCCTCTCCAGCAGAGTCTGGAAGGGCTCATGAGCCTCTGAGAATATCTGATTGTGACTGAGATTCAACTGCCTTAGGTGGGTGGCCTGAGAGCTCTGGGACAGGATGGTGACATCTATGCTGGACAGGCTACAGAAAGGCAGATTCAATGTCTTCAGCTGAGGTGGCAGCACTCTGCAGAGAGAAAAAGAAAAATTATTTCAGAAGAATGAGTATTGGATCAGGGAAGTGAGCCCTGAATAATAGACACCTAAGGTCTAGAATAAACTACCCTGGTTATAGCTTATTATGTTTAGTTTGATTAAGACCCACCTCAGCCCCTCCCCTGGGGTCATTTCTGTAATTATTTTGCAACAGTTCTTAGTCATGTGGGCTTTGGAATCAGACTGAATATATTTGTGACCATGAGAAAGTTACTTTCCCACTCGAAGACACATGTTCTTAATCTTTAAAATGTGCACACCAGTAATTATCATTACAGAGTTGTGCAGCAGATTAAGTGAAAAAAATTGGATAAACTTATATACAACATCACCAAAGGCCACTCCTGGTCACTTATATGGCGAGGACAGGTCTGGGAAAGCAGCCAACTGAAGGCTCCCTTTGACTAGTTCCCACATGAAACCTTCTCCATTCAGTGTCTAAGCCTTGGGGAAAACACAGGAGCAAGAGGATCTGGCAGTGTTAACTACTGTGGCCAGTCCAGGGGGATGTGCATCAGTGTTACAGCATAAGACTTTTCTCCATCTGAACGCCTCCTCTTGCTCTCTAGAGAGCTGTAGACACCACTAGGACTGAGACTTTTACTAATATACTTACAGACATCACAGAGTCTACACACGGTTGGCTGAATGAATGCACGAATGAGCACAGCTTCCTTTTCTAACCTTGTCTTTCTCCTCACCATGAAGTACCTCTAGCCTGGCCAAATGCTAATTCCCAGCACTTCCCATGCTGAGGTACAAGGAGAAATACTTTACAAGGAGCTTAGGAATATCTAAGCATGCTCTCTTCTCTTACTCATGGGGTATGCAGGGAACCCAGGTTTCTCAAACCCGCGCACCTGAGAAGTCTCTGCAATCGATCTCCGAGGCACAAGGCAGACAAGTCGAGCTCTTGGAGGCTGTCCAGCTTCCCAAGACAGTTGAGAAATGTTTGGAAGTGCCTCCCCACAAAATATGTAAAGATGATGTTAGGCAGACGAAGGCTGTACAGGTTGGCCGTCTGAGTCACAAGATGGTTGACTTTCCTCAAATAAGCCTGATTCACCTGCAGGTGATCAACGCATCGTGGATCCAGAAACTGCAGCATACTTCTGTGGGCAGAGATGTTATCAATTACCAAATCTCTGCAGCAGAGGTGCAAAGACCCAGAGCTCTGCCTGACTTTACTCTGAAGAAAGGAAAGAAATTGCTGTGTTCTCAAGGTTCCATCGAGGGAGAGGTCCACAAGTAATTCCACAGTTTCCGAGGCTGAGTGAGGCTCTGACTCTGAATTATTAAATCCGTGGCACCTGACGCTATGCTGAGCTTCTTCTGTTCTAAGAGTAGAGTTCTGAGAGTAAGCACAAGACCGAGAGCAGGAAGAAAATGTGGTTTCCATCTCAGAGCATATTATGGAACAGTTCGGGTCCTGCCTTAAATCTAAGAGCCTCAGTTTTGGGCCCCTGTAAGGAGAGGAGACAGAACACATGAGAGGTATCCAATTTTAATGTATTGCCCCTAGATCAGTGTTGAGTACAAGGCACAATACCCTTTATCCCTGGTTTTTCACAGCATATGTCATTCACCAAGAATTCCTTTCCTAAAAATTCAGTACCTTTCATTTTTTTCCCCCTACTTTGTTCACCTCTGGTCTGTTCCCATATCAATGCCCATGTCCTTCTTCTATGTAATTATTTACACCCAGGAGGTAGATCCATCCATAGTATCCTCAGTCACCTCTATTCTGTAATCAAGTCTGTGAGACATTAGAGTCATTAAGGTGACCCCAAGTGTTGGATCAGTAGCCCCACAGTGATCTTCAGCATTCACTACTGGCTACTTTGGGAAGACTGTTAGGTATTCCCCTGCCCCAGGCTCCAGCACACTCTCCTGCTGACTCACTCTATTGCTACTGGATATAGTCTTACCAGGAAGAAGAGTTCTGGGCAGAGAGGAGCTGCAGACCATCAATCATGGCTTCCAAGATGTCGTAGTCTAACCCTTGTACACTCAGTGTCCCGATATGGAGACAGCGAAAGGGCCAAACCCTCACCATTGCCTTCAGTATCTCCTTATGTCTGCCCATGAAGGCAGGAATGAACAGTGGAACAAAGAGGGCTCTTGGGAGCTCATCCAGGGCATGGATAGCTGCCAGCTCATTACTCAGCAGACTCTTTGCAGCAAGCTCTAACAGAGTGCCTGTGGTCTTCCGGTCCATCTTGAACCTGCTTCAGGGTAAAGAATATTTAGAAATCCTAAGGGGATATCTACAGTCATCTGTTTGCCTACAATGTCAGGTTTGCAAAAAATATTTATTGAATAAATATACGGTGAACTCTACTAAAGGGATAGATCACAAATAGGCTTGTGTGTTTAAGTACGCGTGTGTGTGCACACACACACGTGCAATAAAATGCCCCTAGAAATCACAGCTAAGTTAGCAGTATATGATGTCTACCACAGAGCTGTCTTCCTCCCAAAAGGATACCGACCAATCAGAAGGAAAATGTAAATCTACACAAAAGCCACACTCTGATCATTACTTTAACACAGAGAATGCACAAAGTTCAATGTAATTGGGAGTAACAAAAATAATAAATTCCAGCACACAGGCTGTCATACTCCCATCACTAGGCTTTCTGGCGTGCAAAGACAGATCTAGAATAGCTGCAAGACATACAGAAGGAAAATGGTGAGGGTTTAAAGGTGATCTAAAACTGCAGCAGAATAAGTCTGAAAATACCAAAACGGTGTTCCAGAAGTTGAGATCGGGACCTACAGGGAAAGGAATCCAGAATATGAGCATTTAAAGGGGGTAGGGATGGTATAAAGGTGAAGTCACTGAAAGACATTACTTCTAGGGAATAATAAAGCCAAGGAGCAAAGGAGAAGCATCCCTGCCCCATGGGTAATGGGGAAAATTAAAGATCCTGCAAGACGTAAGAGAACCACAAGTCAGAGTATCACAGCTTCTCCCTCCCTTACCAAAACAAAATAAATAAAAGATCTTGACTTTGCTATACTGACAGAAAATGATATCACTAAAGTAGGAATCTTGGCAAACAACCCAATATCATACATATGAGCAGAAGGAAGGGGAATCCCATACACAACCATTGCAATAAAAAAAGATGAGGAAACAAAATTTCACACATATGAAACAACCATGAAGCAAGAGACTGTAAGCCAACACTCCAAACAGAATTACACTCCAGCATGCATTTGAGGATATGAAACCTGCTTGAATCAGAATCCTTTTAAATCTACAAAAACAGAAGTGAACCAAAAGCAAGTCTGAAGTTGAGATTTTCCATCCCAGTTAGTGTCCTTCAAATACCACAACCTATAGAGAAAGTTTTTCAACACATAGGAACTTGGGAATTTGGCACCCCTCAGCCCTTTCTGAGTTATCAACTAGAGCAGGGCTTTACAAACTGCAGCCCATTGTGCCAAATGTAGCCTACTGTTTGATTTTTTAAATAAAGTTTTATTGGAACAAAGCCACAATCAATCATTTATGAATTGTCTATACATGTTTTTGTACTGCAATGGCGAAGCTGAGTAGCATTGACCTCAGAGACACTGTGGCCCACACACTTAAAAACATTTACTGTATGCCTCTTCATAGGCTGATTGCCAAGAATCTTCTAAAAGATGAATTGGGATTGTGATCCCCTATGTGATGATGGAAAACGTCACCAAAATATCTGATGGCGAGCATGTTACAGCTAATACTAAAATCCAGGTGGTGGAAAGGGGGGGAAAACTAACGTACAAATGCTTCAATATTGTGAAAACACAGAAGTTGTGCAAATAACATGAGAGAAAGCAGAAGAATAGAACAAAAGACAGATAAACATTTTGTCATAACTCAGTAGGCGTGTTTTAAGTAATACTGGGCGGTGGGGAAGAATGAACCAGATAGGAAAGTGTTCAGAAAACAGGGTAGTTACCTCAACAAACAAGCAAATAATCCAATTAAACAATGGTCAGAGGAGCTGAAGAGACAGTTCTCCAAAGAAGAAATTGAGATGGCCAACAGATACATGAAAAGATGCTCCACATCGCTAGTCATCAGAGGAATGCAAATTAAAGCCACAATGAGATATTACCTCACACCACTAAGGATCTCCACCATCCAAAAGACAAACAATAACAAATGTTGGCAAGGTTGTGGAGAAAGGGGAACCCTCCTACACTGCTGGTGGGAATGTAAACTAGTTCAACCATTGTGGAAAGCAGTGTGGGGGTTCCTCAAAAAGCTCAAAATAGAAATATCATTTGACCCAGGAATTCCACTCCTAGGAATTTTACCTAAGAATGCAGCAGCCCAGTTTGAAAAACACATATGCACCCCTATGTTTATCGCAGCACTATTTACAATAGCCAAGAAATGGAAGCAACCTACGTGTGCATCAGTAGATGAATGGATAAAGAAGATGTGGTACATATACACAATGGAGTATTATTCAGCCATAAGAAAACAAATCCTACCATTGCAACTACATGGATGGAGCTAGAGGGTATTATGCTCAGTGAAATAAGCCAAGCAGAGAAAGATAAGTACCAAATGATTTTACTTATCTGTTGAGCATAAGAACAAAGAAAAAACCTGAAGGAGCAAAATAGCAGCAGATGCACAGAATGCAGGAATGGACTAATAGATACCAAAGGGAAAGGGACTGGGGAGGATGGGTGGGAAGGGAGCGATAAGGGGGGGAGGAAAAAGAAAGGGGACATTATGATTAGCATGTATACTGTGGGCGGCATGGGGAGAGCTGTATAACACAGAGAAGACAAAAGTGATTCTATAGCATCTTACTATGCTGATGGACAGTGACTATAATGGGGTGTGCGGGGGTGACTTGGTGATGGAGGGAGTCTAGTAAACATAATGTTCCTCATGTAATTGTAGATTAATGATACCAAAAAGAAAACCGCAAGGGGTGGTAACAAACAAAGAAAAAAATGTGAGCTGGAACTGCATGATTAACACAATAAAGGCATGGGCTATGCAAAAAAAAAACAACAACAGAGTAATTCAGGATGAGTTTTTTCAAAGCATTTAACATGACAGAGGACACATCTTGATGATAAAAGCCAAGATTCACAGTGAAGTTGTAACAGTTAGAAATATTTACACACCAAATAACACAGCAAACACTTTTATGAAGCAAAAAGGCAAGGAGACATAGACAAATAAAGGGTAAAAATGGGTGATTTAATACACCAGTCTCAGTACAAATCAGATCAATTTGTATAAAAATTGAGTAGTGATGTAGAAAATCTAAACAACATAATAAAGTAAACTATGTGTGTGTATATATATATACACACTATCTATATTCATATGTGTGTACATGCTCTGAAAATAGAGAATCTATTTTCTTGTCAAAATTGTTAAAAATTAAACAGGGACGGCATCATTTACATCCATAAAGCAGAAATGTCCAAATAGTCCTTTCTAACCACAAAGCAACAAAAGTTAAAATTACTAACAGAAACTGAAAACAGAAAGGCTTTCCTACCAGGAAAGGGTTTTGAGTTTAAAAAATTTTTGAGTTAAAGAGGCGAACGAAATTAAAGTTATGGAAACTGTATATCAGGATATATGGGATACACATAAAGTAGTGATCAGAGGCAAATCTGGAGCACTAAAGACTTTCACAAGTAAAAGTGGAAGAATGGAAATAAATAGTGAAACAGAAAAAAGAAATTCCTGTGCAACCTCTTTGCAACTAACTTTGAAAATCTACATAAAGTAGATAGTGTTCTAGAGAAATTCACACTAACAAAATGGAAGCTCTAGTGTTAAAAAGCTTAAATTTGCCAGTTTTCATAGAAGAAATAAAGTTATTATGCAATTACCCCCAAGTAGCATTTAGCTCAGGTGGTCTTACAGGTGAATTCTAGTAAAGTATCAAGGATGCCACAGGACCAATGGTCTCTCTATAAATTATTCAAAAACATTAGAAAGGAAGCAAAAGTTCCTAACTCCTCCTATGAAGCAAGTATGACACTGATAGGTAAAACGTAGATATGAAAGTCCTAAACAAAACATTAGCAAACGTCCAACAATAATACATTAAGAAACTAATACACTGCGACCAATTGGGATTTATTGCATTTATACAAAGTTGGGTCTATATTAGGAATTCCATTTATGTCATTCACCATAGTAATATAGTTAAGGACAACGATAGCTGCTGAACAACCCTTTGGGAAAGTTCAACACTGATACATGTTACAAAAAGAAAAACGTCTAGAAAATAGGTGCCAGGGAATGTTTTCTTTACAGGAAAGAAGATACATAATTAATTCCTAATGCTAGTATTTTATTAAATGGGGGACCACTAGAGGGAAAGAACGGATGCCACTCCTTCATTCCTACTCAGTCTTGTACTATAAGTATTAGTCATTTGACAAGAGAAAACTATCAGATTTATAAGAATGGAGAACAAGAGGTAAAGCCGTCTCTGTGTGCCGATGATATTACAGCACACCTGTACATCCAACAGAACAATGACATCAACTGAAACAACAATCAAAATCAGTACGGGAGCAGCATATATAAAGCTAACATAAAAAAATCAATAGTCTTTGTATATAAGTACACAAAAACCCAATGGGGAGAACACATTGGTAGAGAAGATCCCATATAGGACAGCAATACATAATATTAAAGGTATAGGTATAAACTTAGCAAGAACATTGATACAAGGAAAGGTTTTTCAGAATGACAAGGAATTGTCATTGCATCTATACAAGGAAAACTTTTTCCTTTGTGACAGTGAGTAAATGAAAAGATAGTCACTGTCCATGGACAGAATAGTTCGACATCAAAAAGGTGTCAATTCTCCCTAAGTTAATTTATAGATTGAATAAAACCTCAATATATAGCAGCAAACATTGTTATGGATTTAGACAAGTCGATAATGAAGTTCATAGTTTATAAAGTGCAAGAATACCTAGGATATAAATGAAAAAGAAAACCTACGAGAAGGGAGGAATGATACCAGACACTCAAGCACGGTGTAAAGACTCTGCAATTACAAGATCATGGCACTGGTACCTGGACAGATACATAGCCCAATGGAATAGAATAGAAAACACAGAGATGCACCCAAGCACATACGGAAATTCTAGTATTAAAAAACGGTGGACATGGAACATCACTGGGACAAAGATGGACATTTGATAAAGGGTGCTGGAACAGCT